CGCCATGGCCGCCGCCAACGGCACCGCCAACGGCACCGGCGCCGGCGGAGCCCACAGTGCAGCGCGCCGCTTCCTTCCCCTGCTTCCGCGGGGCCGCCCAGGGGCGGGGAGGCGCCGCCCCGGCCCGCCCCGCTCCGCCCCGTTCCGCCCCGGGGAGCGGCGGCCCCGGAGCCCTGCGGCGGCCGCCCCCTTCCCGGCCCGGGAAGGCGTCATGGCGGCCCCCTGTGACTGTCATGGCGGCCCCCTGCCCTCATGTAACTGTCATGGCGGCCCCCTGCTGTCATGTAAACCGTTACGGAGGGCCCCCCACCCCTCACGGACATGGTCATGGCGGCCCCCTCCCACAGTGTAAGCCATCATGGTGGCCCTCTCTTCTCATATAAACCGTCATATTAGCCCYTTCTCCTTATGTAAACCATCATGACAGTCCTGTCCCATCATATAAATGTGATGGCGGCCCCTTGCCCCATGTGGAGCATCATGGTGGCACCCTCCCCACATGCAAACCATGACGGCAGCACCTTCATRAGCATGTAAACTGTCATGACAGGCCCTTCCCCTCATGCAAACCAGCATGGCAGGCCCCTGTCATCACGTAAACTATCGCGGGGTCTCCCTCCCCTCGACGCAGACCATCATGGTGGCCCCCTCCCCACATGTAAACTGTCATGGTGCCCCCTTCCCCTCACCTAAACCATCACTGCATCCAGAAGCCAAGCAGCTCAAATTCACTGCCTGATTCTATCAGCCCCRTGTCTTTTAAGGACTGGGATTCATCCCTGAGCTCTTCCCTCAACAAAAGAGCAGTTAATAAATTTATTTCTAAACATGCTCTGAGATTATTTTAAATACCCTGGGCTGCAGGAGCTGGAGGTTGAAGAGTGCTGGATTTGCCTCCAAGCCAAAGCTACAAGAATTGATGATGTTGGGGGAAAAGAAAGGAAAGGGAAAGGAAAGGCAAAGGGAAATGGAAAGGCAAGAGGAAAGGGAAAAGGTGCTTTTTGAAACAAGTGCTTTTCCTTGGTTTTCCTCTCCATTGGCAGCTCCTGACTGCACACTCCGGTTTGGGGTAGAGGCACCAAGGGAGACGGATGGCTCCTTTCCCCATGCCCACGGTGCTGCTGCAACACGGTGCAGGTGCCTTATCTCGATCTGCGTGCAGCCTCGGCACGCTCCCCTGCGGCATCCGAGCACCCACGCAGCCTTCGCTTACAGCAGGTACAGCTGGAAATCCCTGACCTTTCCCCATCTCTGTGCCCTCTGTCATCACGGCAGGCCTGCAGAATGGTCTGTAAGTCAGGACTTGTCACAACTCAACCCGTGCAGCCTGCTGGCACYGCTGGCAGGAGCACGTCCAGATTGCTGCGTCTGCGGCTTTACCGGTGCGCCGTGCAAGCCCGTGCTCCCACTGCTGCTTTCCAAAGCAACAGCAGAAGAGCCAGGGCACAATCCTCCCGGCCTCCTACACATTGCATGTTGCTGGGCTGGGCAGAATTATATCTCACTGTGATAGAATTATTTCTATCTGCCAGTTGTTGCCTGTCAGATCATTCACAGAAGCCAACAGACATGTGCAGGCAAAATTGCTCTTGTCTCTGCTTCCCTCTGCAGCCCAGGAGCCTGTGCAGGCACCCTCCCTGCACAGCCCAGCTCTGCACTCTCGTTTGCAATGCAAAGTCTCTGCCTTAATCTTTGACAGCTTTAAGGAGCAGCGCTTTGAAATCCGTAACAGATTAGCTGACGTAGTTATGGCCTGAGCCCCTTGTATACCCGCTAATCACGTTGTATACCGGCGGTATCCCACATGGCAGCTCCTATCGTTTCCCATTAGCTCAAGCAGGCGAGCAGTCTGCGAGTCATGCCAAGAGAASAGCTAGCCCAGATCATGGTAACACTGAAATAAAGCTCAGCTGAGCTTTATTTCCATGAAAAGTGGGAACTCCGGGGGAGCAGGTGCTCTGGAGCTGGAGTATCAGTAAGCCGAAGATTAAAGTTGTTAGGATTGTACTTCACTTAGCAGAAGCAAACAAGCAAGCACACTAGGAAGCCAGGTATTTCCGGATGAAAGAAAGAAAGAAAGAAAGAAGGAAAGAAGGAAGGAAGGAAAGAAGGAAAGAAAGAAGGAAAGAAAGAAGGAAAGAAAGAAGGAAAGAAAGAAGGAAAGAAAGAAAGGAGCAGCAAAGAGCAAGAGGGTTGGGAATGTGCAATGAAGCCCACGCATCCAAACCTGCTCCACCACTTCATGACAGGGAATACGATCTAGTTAGAAGAAAAACACAGTTTGTACATCTTGAACTTATGCCAGTTATTATCTSCAGTCATTTCATTAGTGCCTAGGGCTCATAAACAAATAAATAAATAAATGAATATGTGGAAATTGGAGTGGTTCTGCTCCCTATACTTATATATGTTRTAACCACTGACTAAGCAGGAAACCATGAAATGCTCTGGGCCTCAGAGCTAGGGCTGGTGGATAGCAAGGAGATACAGTTTGATCAAAGATTTCATGTTCTGGCTACCTTCACCAAATTCATCAGGTCTTCTGGATTTTTTCATCAGTGCAGAGAAAATTAAAATTTGGGGGGGTGGAATGCCTTGACCACACAATATTTTCCCTTGCAAAACAAGTCATTTTAAAGCTTATCTTTAAAAAGGCTTCAAAACTAAACTATAGAATAATGGTGAGAAGAGAGAAGAGTTGCTTAAAGGTTCAAGTTTAAACCCAAGACCTCAACATAGAATTTCCTGCTGACTCCCAATGTTCAGAAGTTGCTACACCTCACTCCATGCAGTGACTGAYATGGGAGTGTGAGGCAGCAAATCCTCAGGGAAAACCCTCGCTATGAGTGGGAAGAGGCAAGGATTAGTTTCATGATCTAMAATTTTAACAATAGGAACAGAATAAGAAAACAAATTTACAGGAGATTCCCCTGAGCCCGCTTTTGACTCGAGCCAGCACTGAGCCGTGCTGTGTGCTGCGTTTCCATGCCTTGTCTTCTCTAGCAGCCACAGAAGCCAGGCTATTTTGGCCAAGGTATTGGCACAGCCTGTGGTTATTAGCATTACGGAAATGGTGCATTTTCCCAGAAACGTCACTTGTGCTCCCCAGAGCACATCCATTGCCTTCAGTAGTGTCCCATAACCACACGATGGGGCTGTTGGTTTGTGTCCTCTGCTCCGTGCCACAAACCTGCTAAGGCAGCTTCATCTGCAAGATTTGCTTCAGACCGTCAGTGTTACAACAGAGGTCAGAAAAAAACAATTACATTAAAACACGTGGAGTCCAAATCCAGGGCAGCCTAATGCAGGTCAAATAATGAGTTTTACGGGACCCTTTCCCTATGCTGGCATGGACTGATTCATRGTTATTGCTTTCTCAAGAGTTTACTTGGAAGATTCTCTGCTAGCACTGCATTTTCATGCTGCCATTGAGTACCTGTGCTGTGAGCACACAGGATTTTGAAAAAAATAGGGTTTTGAAAATGCTCCATAAGTCTTGCCCCCATASCTGCATACACAGGAAGGCGGCATTTATGCAGAAAAGACTTCACAGGACCTTTAGTCTGCTCAGAGAGCGCAGGGCTGCTCAGCAGTGAAGCTCTGTCGGAAAACAGAAGAGCTTTCTCAACGTTAGAGCAGTTTCATGGCTCCCATTGGTGTTAGCAGCACCGTTGAGGCCCATGAGCTGGTCTCCAGATTTYTCCATCGTGGAATCCTTTGGCCAACAAAGACTGAAAATAATCTGGGCTCAGAAGGCTCAAAGCATTTCTGGCTTGAGCAGTTTGCAGCAACCACTTGTCTCATCTGCTGCATATGCTTGGTCCRAGGAGCTAAATATGCAATTCCTGCTTATATATATCCCAGACCTTTTCACCCCGACCTCTTTCCCCAACTGCTAGTGACAAAGTGACCTGATGCTTTAAAGATCTCTAAAAGAAAACACGCATGCAGAGTGAGGCAGGCTCTTTCATTTATTCTTCTCAGCACCACAACCCAGTCTGCAGAGCGCAGCCACCAGAACGAGACCCAGTAGCTCTCACCTTGCACCCAGGCTTCCCTGGGACCTTCATTCTCAGCTCATATGCAAGCCCAGTCGCACGTTACAGATGTCCTGGCTGCTATAGTGACAGTCCTGTGATGTGGCCAGCGTCCCCACCTTAGTACAAGGCACCCTCATAAGTGTCCGTGCGCAGGCCGTAGAGGATGGCGGCGCCCAGCATGAAGATGGCAGATCCCCAGCCCAGGCCGTAGCCCCAGTTGAACTCGTGGTAGCTCCTCAGCATGCTGCTGTYGACGAACTTGATCGGATAGAGAATCAGGGCACAGATCTGCAGCACCACTGCGATGGAGGAAAAATAATAATCAATACAAAAAGACAGGGAAGAAGCAAAAAATAYTGCATTGCATTTTCAGAGAGACCAGAGCATATTTCGTTTTGCAATTCTCCTCAACAAACTATGGATGCTCAAGGCATGGAAGGCTGGTAGCCTTCACTTCCCTTTATCTCCTTCCATCTAAGCACAGAAAGGCTGCCACATTCAGTACCACAGCAGTGGTGAAAGGCCTGGGACAGACCCACACTGCGGTTTCTTCATCATTCCAAAAGCCTCGATCAATTTTCAGATGTATAAAACCAAAATCAAGGGGGGAACTGGATTTACATCTCATCCTTTTTGCCCCTTAGTTGTTCTACTACTACCACAAGGCAAAAGTTATTGAAAAGTATTTATTTCTATTTCTGGATTTCATCTCAGAAAATCCATTTTGCTTTAATTAGTACTTCATGAGCCCATGTCCTCAGCATTACTAGATTTGCAGTTCAGAGTGTTATAGGAAACATATACTGCAGGCAATTTACCCTGGCAGGGGTATGAATATTTTTAAAAGACATATAAACACAGAACTGGAGGCTGCTGCTCTCTCTTTAGCTGCAGATTGAAGTTACTCCACTTTCATATCTGTGCCTGAGCCACCAAGCCTGTGTACTAGGTAATGTGGACGGGACAATACCTGCCAGCTTGCCTTAGGACAAATGTCCTGTAGCTTCTGGAGAGGTTTCTGCTAAATGAAACAGTTGGGTTTTCGAAGGGTTGTGTTTTAAGTTGTTCATTGCTTTGCCCAGGGAACCTTCTAAGGGTATTTTTTGAGTAGATATCTGGTGGATCGAGGCTGAGCTGTCCCATTTACAGGCAAGAAAGTTCATGACTTGGCCCTAATATATAAATGGAGCAAGTTGCTGCCATTAGCTTAAGGCAAATACACTGCACAGAAGGACTACACATGCCAAGATACAGGATCCTAGCAGGCCACAACTCAGAATTAAAAGTGAAATGTGAATCACGTCTGTTTTTCAGTTAGCCTGGAGACACCTTTTCTTAGGAGCCAATCCAAAGCCTGTCCTGATTTATGAACTTAACAGAACCATACAAAAGGAGCCAGGAGAGAGCTCGTCACTTGGAACGGAACCCAAGCAGCCAAAGGACCATCTGTTTGTAGAGGTACCTGCAGCACAAAGCAGAACAGCGACCACTCTGTGGTACTGCCAGTAGGTCTCCAAGCAGAAYGAGATCAGAGAGATGAGGAAGGACAGGAGCGCGATCGTAGCTGCTGCCAGAATTAACACCAGTGTAGCCACTTGCCAGTCTAGAGTAGAAAAGAGACARTTTGGATTAAAACTTTTGATTTAAGATAAAATTTCAGTTCAGGCCTTCACACTATTCCGGAAGCATCTCTTGCCTGGACTTTCCAGTGATGGAACAGCCAAGCCAGCCATTGCTAGAACTCGTCATCCTCTCAAATGGCCCCCGTGCTAGAGGCAAAACCTGCTCCCATTTCCAAAGTGAGGCTTTTCAGAGAGCTGGGTTTTGCTGGAGGAAAAACAACTTCTGGTTGAGAGCTTGCGGGAATTTGAACCCCAAAACCTGAGAGCTTGGGAAACTGAGAGTGGTTCTCACATCCCTGCAAAGGTCACAGCAGAAATAATCTTCTTGGGAGAACTAAAATGTTGGAGCTTTTGATTCAGAATATTGGGAAATTGTAGTCTAAAAGTCAGGTAATTTGAAAATAAAACACAAATATAAAAAAAAAAAAAAAAAAGAAAAGAGGAAAAAAAATCGCTCTAACGCCTTGTACTGGGATTTCCAGACGTAGTAGTGCCAGACTTACATAGCTCATTTCATACACTGCTCTTTTATAGAAACTTCAGAATGAACAGAGGCTAGCTAAAAAAAAAAAAAAAAAAAAAAAAGCAGAAATAATTTCTTGCCATAAAACAACTAAAATCAGACTTTTTTTTCAAGTGAATCATGAACTAGTAGGCTCACAGCTTCTTGCACATACTCACCCTTGAAAAAAGCTATACAAATAAAATCCAGTTTTTCTTGGAGAATAAAAACCAGCAGCTGAAGGATCTGAGGCAGGTTCTTGGACTGATTTGCTTTGTGCTCTTATTTCAGGTGGCGCAGCAGCCAAAGGGCGCACTGCGAGCAAGGAGCTGGTGGAGGGAAGTGCTGCTTTTTGGTGTCCCCCAAGGGAAGAGGGAAGCTCTGGGATGTGTTTGCACTTAGAGGGGGTGGGCTGGTGAAGCTGACACCAGGACAGGGGCTGAACATCTGAAACGTTTGAGAAAGCGTTGGGGTCTCTTGGGAGCATGTCCTTGTCCTCCCTATCRGCATCCTTAAGGGTTCAGCGCCTTCTCGTCCTGGTCGGGGGCTGAAACAGAGGCCAAACAARGCGGTTTCTCTCCTAGGAAGAGTGTAAAAGAGCTTCTTTGTGTTCCTATGACTAAACCAAGCAAATACACAAGATTTAGAGGTTTAGGCTAGGGAAATACCGTACCTGAACAGAAGTGCTTCAAGTTGAACTGGTTTAACACTAGTGTCTTGGTTCTAAACGCTGGAGGAATGGCAATTTTTGTGGATAAAAGTCTTTTGTCTCAGCCCAGCGGGAATCACGTTCTAGGAGCACAGCCAGGACCAGCTCGTTCACGTCTAGCTTTTTAAAGCAACTTCCCACCACTCTTTTCTCTTTCTTGAGTAGCGTTCTGGCCATCTCTGCAGCAGAGCTGCTGCACATGGTAAAGGAGAACCCCCATCCCAAGCAAATACGGCAGCAAGAAGGGAAAACAAACCAAGCCATGGATATTTTCCATGTTAGGGTCCAAACTCATGTCACCACCATGTGAAACAGCATTGGGGTGCATGCAAACGAGCTCCAAATGAACATGATTTAGGCTGRCAACAGCCCAAGGGGCTGGAGCATGGAGGAGAAACCCTGCCCTGGGAGCAGAGCCCAGGACAACCTGCAGCTTGTGCAGGGAGGAGGGAAGAGMCCAACAACCCGCAAATGAAGGAAGCATCTGGAAACAGCAGGGCTTTTCACTCTGCTTTTGTCAGCACAACAAAGGCCTTTCCCAGGCCTCCTGTTAATCAGCAGTTCACAGCCTGGCGATTTCCCTGGAAGCCTCAGTCCCACACTGGCACAAACAGATGGGATGGCAGCCCAAACTGTGATGGAAAGGAGCAGGGGAGGGACTGGGTAGGACTCCTTATATTCCTTTTCTGGAAGGAGAAGGAGAAGATGTGGCAGGTCCAGCTCAAGATTTCCAAAGACCTGAGGATCCCTTTAGCATCAGCCCGGCTATAAGGACACTGAGTCTGCCCAGACACGTCCCAGGAGCAGCTTTGCTAGGAAGGGCTTCCCGCTGGAAGCAGGTTGCCACCCCCTCCACCCAAACCAAGCACCAGGTTCCTCCTGCAGCCATGCAGGCCTGCTGCCTTTGTGGAGGGAAGAGCTCCAGGCAAGCCTCCCTTAAGCGACTGCACCGAGGCATGCRGGGCCAACCCATGGCACAGCTAGGAGGTGGATGAGCAACTTTGGGAGCTCCAGTGGGATTTCAGGGGTCACAGCTGAGTCTCCTGCTCCGCGCTTGCCTCCAGGGAAGATCCTTCCTGTGAAAGGGAGCCCTGTGCAGGGGCTACATGGTTTTCACCAGAGCATCCAAGCGGCCCAGGCAGCTCCAGCAGACTGAACATGAGCAAGCAGCCCCTGAAGAGGCTCTCCCAACMTGGCCGCGGCAGGAAAGAGGCTGAAACCAGCCCCCTGTGCGTCTGCTCCCAGCAGTGGCTCCACCGCCCTGCTTTAATGTGTGGGGGGACGGAGAGGCGGGTGGAGTATAAATGTGGAGGGCGAGCAGCGAAGGGCAAGGTCAGCACCGGCAGCGAGTCCCCATCTGCTGCACAAGCCCCAGCCCTCGGAAGCACAAGGGATGCGGCCCCRTTTCCCTGCTTGAGTTGTTACCAACAAAGGATGGCACAAAAAAATGGGAAGCATACGGCGTGTGCTGCCCCSCCGCCTGCCGCCCACCGCCTCTCAGCTCTGCCGTCCTCCCCGCCTCGGCGACCAGGGCCACGTTCTCTCCTTCAGCCCTACAAAAAGCCCTCAGAGATGCAGTTTTAGCCCATTCCACCCCCTGGCTGGGCGGGTGAGACATCAGCACAGACTTGACTCCTCACAGCTTCCCCTGAATGTTCTGCCGTGGCCACCGCTTGTGGCAAGCGAGCCCCTCAATGGCTCCACTTGGACTGTGAGCCCTGAGAAGGGTGACATGACCACGTCCACCACGTCCTGAAGCTGCCTGCTTGTGCTATGGGTCACCTGGATCCAGTGACTGCTCCGACAGGAGACCAGGCCCCTGTGGGATGGAAGCGAGCAGAAACCTGGAGAACAAACACTTCTCTTGCACTCATTTTCTACGGGGTTTTGGTGCTTGGGTGGGAAGGGCATAGGCAGAGACTGAGGGACAAGTTCTCCTCCTTCCAGCAACGCCTACTCAGTGAAACAGCTGTGGCTTGTGACACACAGCTGCAAATGCAGACGTGGGGAGACCCCAGCAGCACGTGGAATTTCCCACCACCTCTTCACCTGATCCATTTCCATCTCATGGCATCTCTTCTAAGCATGAGAATCTGTCTGGGAGGATCAGATCTCCACACGGTCCAAGCAATTTCTGGTGCTGCGGCTCACGTCTGTCCTGCAGGACAAACAGGGCAGACAGAGCACTGACCCAGGCTTCACATTCCAGGTCTCTGCTCCCACTCTTCCTATAAGGAGGGTCTCTCCAGCTCAACTTTAAACCTGCACCAAGCCCAGCAGATGCAAGCGTGTTGCTCCTTAATGAAAAATTGCCATGCCACAAAATATGATATCTGAAAACTCAGTCTCAAGGTTTTATTATTATCTAAGCAGGGCCCTTATTGTAAAAAGATGTGGAGAAAGCAGCGAGTCACTTCTCCTGCTTGGAGCCCCATCCAAAAGCAACAATGCAGAGAGGGAAACAAGGGTGCCAGACCAAGCCCTGTTCACTGAACGACAGCCGCAGGTGCCCAAGCGGGCGGACGGATGCAGCGGCAGGTGGGGGAAGCAGGGCAGCTGCGGCCTGACCATCCGCGTCCCCTCTTTTTCAAAGGAGAGGGTCCTTCGAAGGCACCCTGGGATAACAACTCCCCGCAGCCCAGCAGCAAATCTGGCCCGAGCCATTTGGCCTGCTGGGCTGGCCTAAACTTGGGCTGTCTCAGCTCCGTCCTCCCACTCACTGTGAATGAGCAGCAGCCTCCTACGTGAGCTCACTCCTCTCCGCGATGCCTAACGGGAAGTGCACGTTGCCTCCTGCCAAGCACGGGTGCCAAATCCCCAGGCTTGTTAGCTAAGCTTGAGGCCAAGCCTGGAAGCAACCCCAAACTGTGCAACCACTGCCCTACCCTCTCCTAGCCCTGCTGGCCACGGAGCTGCAAAATCCTTTTTCCAAGGAAGAGCCTGAGTCTCCTCTTTCCCCAGGAGCTGGAACAGCAGTCTGGAGACCTGAGCTRCAGAGCACCATGCAGCCAATACCTGAGCCCAGCCCCTTCTCCTCTGCCTGCTCTGCTCCAGCTGTATAGGTCTGGCACATTTCCCACCCCACACACCCCCTTCTCACAACCTGTCAGCCTCCACTCTGGGTGCCCTTCCAGCAGCACCCAGGGGAGAGGGCCAAAACCACCCTGGGTGCAGATGTTGAGGGGGATAAGAGCACCAGGAGAGGCAGCCYGGCTGCCCGCGCTGACGGTTCCATCCCCTGAGCAGTGTGTCCCCGTGTCTCACCTGTCTTGAGGGTGGACAGGCAGTGCCACATGTTGGTGGCCTGCTTGCACACTTCCCATAAGGACAGCGAGTAGTAGTCGGAGGTGACCCAGGCAGGACTCAGGAGGGCCACCACATCCAGCGCCAGGCCGATGAAGACGCAGCAGAGCGCGACGAGCTTGAAGGGCCGCAGGACGTAGCCCTCCTGCGCGGACATCCTTGCAGCCGGGGCGCCGAGCAGAGCCGCCGGGTGCTCCCCGGCCCCGCACGCACTGAATGGGAGCAGAGCGGCGAGCAGAGCGGGGCGGGCAGCGCGCAGGGGGCAGCTCCGCAGCCTGCCCGCCGGCCTCCCGCTCCCGGCGCCGCCGGCAAGCGGCGCGYGCGGCCGCTCCAGCGCCCTCCTCTCCTCTCGCCCTCCTCTCCAGACCATTTGGCAAGGCGCCGGGCCCCCCCTCGCATAACTTGTTGAGAAACACTTGGGCTGTGCAGCCCACCTTGGCAGGAGCCGGGCTCTCTTGTGGCCGGCACCCCGCACATCCTTGGCATCCTCAGCAGGGATGCAGGAACCGCCAGGACCCGCCACGAGGGCTCGTGCAGCCCCCCAGGAGCTCAGCAGGATGCGCACAGGGCCTGGTGCAGCCCGTCTCACCTGGCTCTAGCTTCCAGGGTGCAGTGAGTGCAGGGCACTGAGCCCCAGCTCTGCCTTGGACCTGCCAGCGGGGAGAGGAGAGGGGAGGCTCCCTCTCAGACTCCAGAGCTGGAGCTAGGGGAAACTCGGGTACGGAGAGCACCCCGGCTTTCCCGGCCCAGATTTCTCAAGCATGTCTGCTGGCAGAGAGATGTCATCACTCACTGGCACAGAGGGAGAAGAGCTCCTGAAAACCTCCTTACAGGGCTTGGGTTTGCAGCCAGGAGCCTTCAAAGGGTTAAGAGCAGCAGCTTTGGGGAGCAGTGGCTCCCTGCCAGCCCACAGCATATTTCCCAGGCTACAAGTGCAGCATTCCCATCTGCTCGTAATAGAATATAGCCTGCAAGAGACAGCACCATTTGGTGAACTGCCTACTATAGACCACAATTTGGGAAAAGACTTCCAGGTTTTCCAGAGACTCGAGCAGTCCCAGGCAGCTCCTAGCAGCCATACGGCTCCTGCAGCTCTCCCGGGCAGAGGTGGTGAACGCATCGCTGCTGCTGAGCTTGGCAAAGCCTGAGATGTGCCTGGCTAAACCCACAGCATGTGCTGGCCTCAAACACCTTCCTGAGGTCCCTCTGAAGCCCAGCAGGACACACTGTAAAAGCCAGGGATGGGAAGAGCAGCGTGGGAACCTGTGGGTGGAAACCTGCTCAAGGTCACTGTTCTCTTCAAAATTGTTTTACACACTAATCCACTCCACTGTGATACAGTCATAGTGACATAACTCTTCATTTAAAGCAAAGGCCACCTGCTAGTCCCTTTTGTGTTCAGACAATTTCATGCCACCAATATCAAGGTGGCAATAAATAACAATATAGTTTGTTATTAACAGTCTGAGCACAGGCTGTAACATCCGTCCCAGTACACTGGTAGTTTCTGCTGATCATTGTTTAAGGTTTCTCACCATCCTTCATCCAGTAAGACCGATTTCAACTTCTGCTGACCAAATTGGTTCATTACTGCCGTATATAATTTTTACTGCTTTTTCTACCAAGTGTTTTCCGGCTTCATACAGGTGTGAATGACTTCAGTGTTTTGTTTGAGAAAGCTCTCTAGTTGATGAGAAGTTACTCCAATTACTACCCAGGTATTAAATAGTGCAAAATAGCACTTTTTTTTTGGTCATATGAGAAGTCACCCAGCAAGTCTGGTTGGTGATTTGGTCAAAAACACGTCCCATCAGAACAAACATGCTTGGAAACTCCCAGGACAAGGTATCATCACCTTTCCCGCAAGAGAAGACACCCAGGTCTTGAACGCAATCCAAACCTCAGGTCTGGTATATTTGCTCCCTCTAGTGTCTACAGCATCCCCTACTCCTTTTGCTTTTTAAAATGAGTCACCCAAATCCATGTCTGACTTGGATGTTTAACCACAGCTTCACCTCAAAGACTTCAGAAGATTTTCACTTCTGTTTTAACACAACTTTGTGCAGCTACCAACACAAACCCCTCATCTATAAGGGATCCCATGGAGGTTTATTGGTTATTGCTAACCAGCCACTTCCCAAAATATCAGCTTGAGAAGATCCGAGCGTATTGGTGAGAGGAATGCTGGTAGGGGTGCAAGTTCCCTACAGAGAGAGGCAATTGCTTTTCATGACACCTGAGGGATTTGCAGCCTAGGGAAATTATAGCGTGCCTTAAATCACTATTCATATATCAAACCCATAACATCATTTGTAGTGTCTGGGGCAAGAGTCGATGCATCGTTTGAAGGCTCTTCTTCTGAAGGTGCTTGTTTAAAGACGCTATGCAGAAAACAGACCGCGTTTTGTCTTGATTACAGCGTTTCACCATCTGTGCCAAGTCCTGGCTGGGGATGACTGTTAAGTGTCACCCATCCTGCGCTGCCCCTTCGGAAGGGGCAGGAACAGCTTCCTTACAAAACCAGCAGGAAACGAGGAAACGGCTGCAGCGTGACACTGATTACACCACGATGCCGACAGACACAGATTAGTCCTTCTGAGGCATCACAGTTTTAACAAACTTAGAACTAACCTGGACATCCCCCAAATGCCTACTCCACACTCCACCCTGCTGAACACACAAACTAACTAACTAAAGCTTYGTAAAGCTGCAGGAAGAGCTCACGGTTCTGGGACGCACCTCGGGCTGGCAGCACCCTGTCCTGGAYGTGCGGGGGCTCCTGCTTGTTCCGACGTGCCCTGCGAGCGCAGACACTGCCGCGTAACCCAAGGAAAGGGAAGGAGAGGGATGAGCAGCGCCCGGCGATGAAACAACCGTGSGTAGTTTTTCCCCTGGCAAGGCAGGCCGATACGGAGGGCGCTCCCCTCTCCTGCTGCCACCRGCGGGGCCACCAAGGCCTGGGCGAGCCTGGCTGAGGCCAAAGCCGCTGCCTTGGGAAGYGCAGCCTGGGATCCAGCCTAGGCACCGCGGTGCTGCCCGGACCCACCCACAGCACGAGGCGCCCTGCCAGGGGGGCTCGCACACCAGAGTCCCTTGGCTTAACTCCCTGCACATCCGCAGCAGGAAGGGAAAGCCCTTCCCGCTCCCAGGGGACCAACTCTGCGGGCCRGGGCAGTCGGGACCTGCCGCTCTGCTCCGCCGCGTGTCACCAGAGCCTGCAGCGGAGTGGGCCCTGCCGCCTCCTCCGCCCGGGAGCTGCGCATGGCGCCCAGGAGAGCCCCAAGGAGCAACAAGTTCCATTAAAAAACAAACACGAAACGGCTGCCCCCCCCACACCGCCGGC